CTGCCGCGCCGCTCGGTGCTCGCCGCGCTCGTCTTCTTCTGGCTGTCGTCCTCGCTGCTCTACTTCGTCTATGTGGCGCCCGGCAGAGGTAAGACGGGGCCCGCAGGGCACCCGCGCGAGCCCGCACGCCCCGGGGCCCGCGCGGCGGAGCTCAGAGCCGGGTGCGCGGAGGCGGCGGGGACCTCCGCCGGGCTGTGGGGACGCCGCCGCTTCCCGCCCTCCGCCGCTCCGGCCAAGTCGTTCCCTCCCGAACCGGCCGCGCCGGAGCCCGGCTTCCCGCCCCTCGGGCCCGGGCTCCGCCTCCCCCGGGCCCCCCGATCCCGTTCCCGGCATTCCGCGCCGCGCCGGTCCCGGGCGCCCTCCGGTCCGCATCCATCCTTCCTCTTGCGCGGTTCTGCGCTTCCTGCTCCCGGGCCGGGTTGCCTTTCTTTGCTCTGCTCCCCGCGCTACGTCCCCCTCTGCTCTTGGGGTCCACCCTGCATTCAGCCGCCTCGTCTCCAGTCCCCCCCCAAGGGCACAGTCTTGTCTCCTCCGCCCTCTTCCCTCCCCAGACCCTGGTTTCCTCCGGAACCGCGGACCCCGCGAAGGGGTACGGTCGTACACTGCTGCCCTCAGAGCCTCGATTTGGGGGTGGAAAAAAGGCGGCTTTTGAATGTCGGATGGTGCTTGCTCTAGGGACCAAGGGGAAGTTTGAATTGGCCCTAGAGGAGGGGCTGTGACACGGGTCTTTGGGAAATGGTGCCAGGTTGAGGGGCGGAGAAAAGGAATGGGTACTGGTTCTTGTCAAAAGCTTAGCCTTTAAAGGGAAAACAGCCCCCAGAGAAACTGGACTGTTCCTGGCCGCAGACTTTATAAGACTACAGAGAAGGTATTTAGGATGACTTGAAGAGATAAGGAATGGCTTCGGTGAGGGTTGAGGGCATAGGGCATTGAGGTCAGACTTGGATTCCAACTCTTGACCTCTATGACCTTGGACAGGTTACTAAGCCTCAGCTTTTCTTCTCTGTGAAATGGGGGTAGGAATCCCGCCTCACAAGATAACTAACAGGATGAAAGTCGATAAATGCCGTATTAAGTACATAACACTGTGCCTGATGCAGTTTTCAAAATAAATAAAATCAGGGATTGTATGCGCCTCTCAGGAAAGAAGAGAATAGGTGGAAGATTTAAGGGATGTAGTTGGCTGACTTGGCATCAGCATGGAGCTCGAGAGAAAACCTCTAGTTTGGGGTGAAAAATGAGCAGAAAATTCCATTGGGGGGTAGGGCAGGGAGTAAATTCTGTTGTAAAAATTTTGGGTTGTTAGAAAGTTAGGAAAGGGTTGCTGGTGAGAGGTCAGCTGTAGGGGGGAGTACAGGTGCCTTTTAGGGTTGTAGTAGTAACTAGTGGCATTCTTTGTTGACCAGCCAGCACTGAACTAGAACAGAAAGTTCTAGATGGAACATGACAGTCTCTTCTGATAATTGTGTGTGTGTGTGTGTGTGTGTGTTTTGGTGTTGGTTTTTTGTTTTTTGAGACAGGGTCTTTCCATGTAGTTCAGGCTGGCCTTGAACTAATGAGGGAGGCCAGGCAGGTCTCAAAACTCCCAAGGATCCTGGGATTACAGGTGTGTACCACTGTGCCCAGTTCTCCTGATCATTTTTAAAAGCATATTTCACTTGCTGGTAATGTTGATGTTTGCTATGAACTGGGTTTGGAAAGATGGAACAGGAGACATCAGATTGCCCTGATCATCTCCTAAGTGTCTTAGGGAAACCTCTAGAGAGATACAATCATTGGATTTGATGAGTAAATGGTAAAAGGATAGGGATTTTGGCAGAACAAGAATAGATAACTAATTAGTGGAAGTAATTGAGAAAAGAGTTCATTAGCGTATTGGATATTAGAGTCTCTTAAAAATGGATGTGAAATGATGGATTCATACCTAGAGGCAAGTTTAAAGCCATTATCCCCTTTCTTCTCCTTTCGTGCAAGTGACAGATATTTCTGGCCTGGGTTCCTAAATCAGCTATAGCCAAATGGAAAAAATATATCCCACTGGGATGCTAATCATTCTTTTGATTAGAAAGATTAGAAGCCAGATTCTCCAACGCAAATGAAACTTAGCAATTGAAGATTCCACAGTCATAGATGTTAGGTTCGTGGAAGGCCTGTGTCCAGTGATGTGCTACCCTGCTGAGAATCTTGCATCCTTAAGACGAAATACTTTAGTTCTCATTAGCATCTCTTCAGCTGCAAGAGTTTGAAAGAGCAGGTCTGTTGAGGATGCTAGTTCTGTTAGGCAAGTGCTTATTCTACTGAGCCATCTCCCCAACCCCATAGTTCTGTTAGGGAGGAAGAGGAAGAGCAAGAAGCACGTGGAGGGCTGGGGATGTAGCTTAGCGATTAAGCAGTTGGCCAGCTTGCACAAGGCCATGTGTGAGTTCTACGGTTGATTCCCAGTGCCGGAAAAGTAAAAGATGTGTAAGAGTCTCAGAGTTCATGCAACCACAGTTAGGTTAGCTGCTTGGCAGTTTTATTTCTGCCTTCCTTTTTCTTTATTTTATCTTTTTTGAAACAGGGTCCTGCTGTGTATTTCACACTGGCTCTGAGCTCACTTTGTAGCCCAGGCTGATCTAGAACTTGCAAGGATCCTCCTGCCTCAGCCTCCCAAGTGCTGGGATTACAGGCATGTGTCACCTTGCCCGGCTTGTCTGTCTTGTTAATGAGCCTAATTTTTAAAATTTCTAGCTTTGGAGTGCAAGCTAACAAATCTTTGCAAAGGCTAAAGCAGTCTAGAAAAATAAAAGGTTTTTTCCTGAGTCGTGGGATAAGAAGACCTTATTTGAGGCAGTTATTAAAATGAGCTTAGGAAATAATACTAAATTGAACCAAACTTTTTTTTTTTTTTGTCTTTTTGGGACAGGGTCTCACTATGTAGTTAGGCCAGGCTGGTCTTGAACTTGTGACAATCCTCTAGAATACTGAGATTACATTTCTTTAGGTCAAAAGCAGTGGAATATTAACTGTTGCCTACAGTTCAATCTAATACAGTTTCAAATAATGATAAATTTTTTCTGACAGGATGGAAAGTGGCAAATTGTATTTCTTTCCAAATTTCAATTGTTTTTCTAGTTCTTGCTTTTCACTTGTTCTGTGTACTTTATGACCCCATGCTAAAGGGCTAAAGAGTAATTATTTCTTCAAGAATATATTATAATGATATTCAGAAATGGGTATAGCATAGCTGTAAGGCTGAGGCAGGAGGATCTCTGGGAATTCAAGGCTAGCCTGACTAACATGGGGAGACCCTGTCTCAAAAAATCAAACAGACAAAAACAAAAGGTAAGAAGACTTGAATTTGAAATAAGAGTAGTTGTATGCCAGGTGTGGTGGCACAGGCCTGTAATCCCAGCACTCAGGCTGCTCAGGCAAGAGTTGGAGACCAGCCTGGGCTACAAGTCGATTTCAAGGCCAGCCTGAACTGCGTAGTGAAACCCAGCCTTAAAAAGACAGAGCCCCTCCCAAAAGTGTGTGTATGTGTGTGTATTTATTTTTATTTTTTTAACTGGGAATTGAACTCAGGATCTTGAGCTTGCCAGCCAGGCACTGTGCCACTGAATTATATCACTGGCCTATAAATTTACATTAACCTAGCACACATTTCTGCCTATTAACTTAGTTTTTTTTTTTTTGTGGAACCGGGGGTTGAACTCAGGTCCTTGCTCTTGCCAGGGAAGCACTTATTCTACTGAGCCATCTCCACAGCCCCTAATTTAGTATTTTATAATCTGCTGGTTCTTGGTGATTTGTAGTCTAAGATCAAAAGGGAATTTTTTTTGGACTTGAGGATCATCTGTGAAATGCGATCAATTTACCACCTGAATGAGAGAACTGGGTATGAGGAAAATTCTTAAATATGAGTATAGGTTTGCAACAAGTACAGAATACTCCTGCTGCTGTAATCTCTTCATCTCAATCCCATTAACATTTTAATGTTAAGTGCTTGCCTGGCAAGCACAAGGGCCTGAGTTCAATCCCTGGTTTTGCAAAAAAAAAAAAAAAAGGTTCTTGTTAGAAGTTTTCTTGGGCTGGGGAGATAGCTCAGTAGAATAAGTGCTTGCCTGGAAAGTGCAGGGTCCTGAGTTCAATCCCCAGTACTGCAAAAAAAAAAAAAAAGTTTCTTTAGGGCCAGGGAGATGGCTTAGTGGAATAAGCACTTCCCTGGCAAGCGCAAGAGCCTGAGTTCAATCCCCGGTTCTGCCAAAAAA